GAGCAGTGGTGAATTGGCAGTCTCTGCACCTGTGGTGTTTCGAGGCACGAGCTCAGCCTTATATTAGGCTGGAGGAGAAGGCAGTCAGGAGGCATGCGCATTCTATCCCCGAGACGCTTACTCTGACTCTTGTCTCCTCTCCTGCCTGCAGAACGCCAGCACGACGTCTCCGTTGAAGATTACCAAGCTCTGCTAAAGACTAAGAGCTATCTGTTCTAAGAAGAACTTTACTCTCTCTAAGATACTCTGTCTCTCTCTTTCCAGCTACAGTAGATAGCCCTCCAGCACGTACGAGAAACTGTTCCTGAGCAAGGTAGCTTAGTGGTCCGCATCCAGAACCTACCTAAGCTGGGCCCGAGACCTGGCCAGTCCTGGGCCCTGACAGCCTCTTTTATAAGGGCACTAATCTGGTGGATGAGGGCTCCAACCTTATGACCTAATCACTTCCCCAAAGGACCCACCTCCTATACCATCACCTTGTGGGTTAGAATTTAACATACAAATTTTGGGGGAATACAAATATTCAGACCATAGTCCTGGTGATGAACTATAGGACTCTGGAGATTGAGGAAGGCATAAGCAACTGGGGATTAGAGGGCATTGGCTGGGCCATGACGAGCAGAATAGAACAAGCCCAGCCAAGGCCTCTACAGGACCAAGAAAAGTGCTCTCTTAAATCACCTGCTAGGGGCTCATGCTCATAGCACAGTGGTTACGGCACCTGCCATATACACTGAGGTCAGTGGGTTTGAACCCAGCTGGGGCCAGCCAAACAATAATGACAACTACAACAACAACAACAACAAAATAGTTGGGCGTTGTGGCAGGCGCCTGTAGTCCCAGCTACTTGTGAGGCTGAGGCAAGACAATTGCCTAAGCCCAAGAGTTGGAGGTTGCTGTGAGCTGTGATACCATTGCACTCTACCCAGGTTGACAGCTTAAGACTCTGTCTCAAAACAAAATAAAATAAACTAAAAATCACCTGCTAGGCCCTGCAGGTGAGACCACAGTGAAGGAAGTTTTCTGTTTTATTCTCTGTTTTGGCCCTGGAAGGGTCAGAAACCAGTTTGCAAGGCTGGGAGGCCAGAGAACATTCTTAGATGGGGAGAAAACAAAGGACTGTCCCCCACCCTACCCCTCCCACCCCCACCACATACACAGCCATCATAAGGGGGCAGAGGACTTACTTTAAGTCAAGTTCAACATTCTGAGTATTACTTGGAATTAAACATTATGAAATTTAAGATTGTGTAAGGAAAGACTATGTTTACAACTTTGTGACTTTTTATTAACTCAGTGTGATCAGAAAAACTCTAAGAGTACCTAAGTTTTCAGCCAGGAGTAAGGAAGGCACTCTCTGCACCACTCTCTGCACAGAATAAGTTCTAAAGAGGCAGTGGAAAGGTCACAGAAAGATGGTCTCTGCCTACTTGAGTCCTGCTTGTTCCCTGGGGATGGAGACTTTATCTAGAAATCAATTTTCAACTGTTCTAGGGTTTTGCCTTTAAAGACACGCTAAATATCATCACACTATCTGAACAATATTTTTTACCGACAAAAAAATTTTCCGATTCTACGGATGTTCCACCTTAGTCTCCATTTGATAAGCAGCCCAGGGGTCTTCAAGTCAGTTTCTTCCACATAAAAAGGACTACCGATTTGCTTATAAATTAACAGTCGCTTTAGTAAAGTTACAAATCCACACATCTACTTTAATTTTTTTTTCTTCTCATTCTGGTTCTTATAGGAATATGTAGATGCATATTTAACTCAAAACACATTCCAAATGAGAAAAGAAAGACAGAGGTAACAGATGCACCATCCCTATCACCGGTTTCCTAAATGAAAAACTACACTCTAGAAATCGTAAATAGGAGTGTTTACAGAAACAGTTGATGGGGGCAGTGTGGGCTGGCATATAAACGCCTGCGGTTGAGCAGGAGAAACCATCCCAAGTATAGTGCCTCTCTCTCTGTCAGCTGGTGCTTCTCTCTCTCTGTCAGCTGGTGCTCCATGTTTGTGTTTCTTCAGATCAATCGGCTGGACGTGGATAACTTGTTTAGCAACATTGAGTCCGTGCATCAGATACCAGCCAAGCTGCTATTGTTGTTGGAAGAGACCACAACAGGCGTGGAACTGGCCATGCAAGTAATCCGTATGTTTATTCTCTTCTAAAGTTCTGTAGCCCTGTAGCTATTGAGAAGCGTGAGGAGGGAGGATCACTTGAGCCCTGGAATTTGAGGTTATGGTGATCTGTGATGGTGTCGCTGAACTCCAGCCTGGGTGACAGAGCAAGACTCTGTCTCTGCAGGGGAAAGTCATCTTGGAGTGGTGGGTCAGAATAATACAAAGGCCATGTGGTTTCGTATGGCACATCTGGGCCTGGACAGGAGGGTCTGAGAGTCCAGAAATCCATGCTTAAATTCAAATTACTATTTGTGAACATAATAAAATTTCACAATCACTGTAAGCTTGCCCTTTTCCCTTTACTTATAATTTAATGCTCTTAAACATTGTAAGCAGTATTTACAAAGGTTTTTTTGTTTGTTTTGTTTTGCTTTCCTTTGTTTTTAGAGGCAAGACCTCATTCTATTTCCCAGGCTGGAGTGCAGTGGTGCAATCATAGCTCACTATCACCTTAAACTTCTGGGCTGGAGGGATCTTCCTGCATCAGCATCCCAAATAGCTAGGACTACAGGTGCACACCACCATTCCCAGGTAGGCTATTTTGTTTTTCTTTTGTAGAGTTGAGGTCTGGTTTTGTTGCTCAGACAGGTCTTGAATTCCTGATCTCAAGCATTCCTCTTACCTCTGTCTCCCAAAGTTCTATGATTATAGGCATAAGCCACTGTGCCTGGCCATCTTTTACAAGCTTAACATTGACCTTTCTTTTCAAGTATTTTATTTATGTAACAGAACTTTATGTAAGTCTTATAAACATGGTAAATTAAATTTATTTTCATACCGCTTACACCTGAAGTTGAGTATACATAAATTATATTTTACATGTAAAGTTTATAATTATAATATCAAATGTAAGTTAAATCATTTATTACATAACATTCAACTAGAAGTCTAAATCAATTGGTTTAATATTTTTCTTTTATAAATTATTTTTAATTACTATGGGTACGCAATAGTTGTATGTACTTATAAGGTACATGTGATATTTTGATACAGGCATATAACATGTATTAATCAAATCAGGGTAATTGGGGTATCCACCACCTCAAGCAGTTATCATTTATTTGTGTTGGGAACTTTCCGGTTTCACTCTTTTAGTTATTTTAAAGAATATAATAACTTCTTATTGACTGGAGTCACTTTGTTATGCTGTCAAATTTTGTTCCTTCCATCTCTCTGACGGTCTCTTTGCATCCATTAACCAACCCACCTTGCTGCCCGCCTTGCTTCCTTTACCAGCGTCTGGTAATCATCATTCCACTCTGTCTCCACGAGATGGATTGTTTAATATTTAGCTTCCACATATGAATGAGACCGCGCAAGATTTGTCTTTCTGTGTTTGGCTTATTTCATAATGTTCATTCTTAACATAATGTTCCGGTTCCATTCACACTATTGTCAATAACAGAATTTCATTCTTTTTTATGGCTGAATAATACTCCCTGTGTATATGTGCCATATATATTTTTATTCCAAATCATGGCTATTGTGAATGAGGCTTCAATAAGCTGGGACTGCAGATATCTTTTTGATACATGCATAAGTTAGTTCTAGTTTTAGTTTTTTGAGGAATTTCCATACTGTTCTCCACAGGGGCTATCCTAATTTATGTTCCCACCAGCACAGTACAGTGATCTCCTTTCTCCACATCCTAACCAGCATTTGTTACTGCCTACTTGATTACACATTCTGAATTGGAGTCACAAAACTTCTTTTTATATATTTTTATTATTATTATTATCGAGACAGAGTCTTACTATGTTGCCCTTGGTAGAGTGCCGTTGTATCATAGCTCACGGCAACCTCCAACTCTTGGGCTTAAGTGATTCTCTTGTCTCAGCCTCCTGAGTAGCTGGGACTACAGGCGCCCGCCACAACGCCCAGCTATTTTGTTTGTTTGTTTTAGCAGGCCCGGGCTGGGTTCGAACCCACCAGCCCCCGTGCTTGTGGCTGGCACCCTACCCATTGAGCCACAGGCGCCGCCCTACTTTTTATATTCTAATGAGCTAAATCATCATATATTTTGCATACTTAGACCAACATATCCACATTAGTCTTCAACTTATAACAAATTGTAACGTTAACACACTACTAAAACTAATAATCTATATTATCTTATACTCAATACTATGTTCCCCAGAATTCCAGTTTACCCCATAACAAAATAAGGCCTTCTAGCGGGTTGGGATTCACAGTACACGGAGAACGCGCACCTGGAGGAGAATCGTCCTTGTAGAAGGCACCGTGCGCTGCCGCGTGTCTGCACCGGAGCGCAGTTTGCCGTCCTTGGTGATTTGCTCCGCTTTTTCCCTGTGAGTCACTCTGAATCAGACTGATAAACACCGTGGGCACCTCGCGTTTCTGATTATTTTCTAGAAGAATACGGAAGCTTTTTAAAGACTCTCAGTCCATATTTTCTGGTCGCCTTTCCGGATCTCGCCACCAACATGCGTTTCCACGTCGTGTTGTGGTGACCATCTCACCAACCCCACAGAGTTTGTCCTTTATTATCAACAATTTGAACGTGGGCAGCAGAGTCCCACTATCTGGGGTCCATTAATTGATTCCGTTACAAGTGCAGTCGAACTGTTTCCTACGTTCACAGTCCACGGAGCTTTGGGTGTGTTCTGCCCCCTTTGGCGACAGGTGGCGGGACGCGAGGCGCAGGATGGGCCGAGCGCGCTCGCCACCCGGGAGGCCGAGTGCGAGCGGAGCCCGCGCCGTCCCGAGCCCCGCGGCCAGGGGGCGCTGCGACCGGATCCCCGCGTCCCCCGCCCCGTCCGGGCTGGGGCTGGCGGCCTCGCGGGCAGCGGGCGGAGAGCAAAGGTTGGCGTCTCCGCGCTCGGACCTTCGCCGGAGGAGCCGCGGCATCATGACGGTGGGAGCCCGGCTCCGAAGCAAGGCGGCCAGCGGCCTCCCGCGCCGCGGGCCCCGAGGGCGCGGGCGGACGGCGCGGGACCAGGAGGCGGAGGCCATCCTGGAGCAGCTGGAGTGCGGGGACGAGGCGGCGGGGGCGGCGGAGAGCGGGCTGCGCCCCGGGCCGCGGAGCGCGCGGAGGGTGCACCTCGCCGCCCTGCCCGAGCGCTACGAGCCGCTGGAGGAGCCGGCCGCGGGCGAGAAGCCCAAGAGGAGGTACCGGCAGAAGCTGAAGAAGTACGGCAAGGTAGGGGCCCCGCGCCTGTCCCCGGGGCTGCGGCCGCGACGGCCCGGCCCACGCTCCGCTATGCACTGCGTCGGCCCTCGGCTGCAGGGCAGGGGTCGGGTCCTGACCGTCCACTCTGCACAGCCTCTGGGCGCTGCCCCTGCCACCCCCTCGCCATAGGGAACGTGTGAGTCACAAGTCAAAATATAAATGAAATCGAGAGTCGCGCTGGGCCAACTATCTACCCGGCTGCTGGCGGGTTAACACCGTCTCCCGGGCTCTTACCAAGGTAGTTTACAGGGGTCTGTGTCCCCGCATTGTAAATGAGAATACTGAAACTTCAGCGTGCTCAGGCTCCTTTCTCCCAGTTGAAGAAAAGAGCTGGAGCCCGCTTTGCCCTCTGATAACATCCTCTCCAGGTTATCGCACCAGCTGAGAAACGTTTTGGTTATTCCCCCCAAATACTGCCAAGGTCATTTCTAGGGCATGGGCGCTCAGTAAATACACAAATATGCATTTGTTGAATTCATGTTTCTCTTCTCCGAGCCAACCACGTACTCTGAGGCCTTTAGACATTCAGCCTTTTACCCAGGGGGTGCAGAGGGCTTGGGTGGGCAGGGGGAGAGGAAGAGCAAGGATGAATGTGGCATAAATGAGTTTCTTTCTCCGAGATGGAAGCTCAGAAGCCCTTCCCTGGTGCCTCTGCCTGGAAGCACTCGAAACTACTTCTGGCAGCTCCTTTGGCCTAAGCAAGCTACTCAGAAAAAAATTACAAAAGTGATTATGTCCTGGCCAAAGGCCTTGGGCCCCGCCTGATTTATGACTGTCCAGGTATCT